TTGGGTTGATTAGATCTGTGAGAAAAGGATATTAAAGGCTAAATTCAAGAATTGGCTTTTACTGTTCTGACATCCCATGAAAATGAGATACTGCCCCTAATTCATCAATGTTTCTAGTTCATTTCAGGCAAAGAACATACGATCATGAGAAATTCATATATACCATTACTATGCAACTTTTTATAACATGTAATAGAAAGAGCATGGTGGAATGAGCTCCAGGCAGGAGCTGTGGGATAGTCAGGACATCCCTAAGTCAGGGACCAGACTTAGGGATCCAAAAAGAGCCACAAAGTAGACTTTGACTTGGAGAGCTACAACAAGAACACTTGGAATTGAGATCTGCAAACCCATAGCCATGCAACATGTACAATTGTGAGGGCAAGGATGTCAAACTATTTGGAAGTTAAGCTGGCCTTCATGTACCACATTAGATAGGAAGTACTTTGGGCTTGCAGAGTATGGCCACCCTTCCAAAAACCAGCTATTGTTCTCTACTAATGATAGCAGCACTGAGACCATAGTTTCCATGGGAGGAATTTGTTTATAGCCTGGTCTCCTAATGACAGCACACACATTAACCAAGATTTGTCTATCCCTTTGCTCTAATTAAATTTTAAGGTTAGACACAATCATTCATACGGCCTGAAACACTGATGAGCCCACTTGGAATGTAAAGCCCCAAAGCAACTCAATATTTACTAAATTTAAAGGAAGCAATCAATTTGTAATTCGAATTTATGCCCATCCTTCCCCCACTTTGGATATGTCTTATTTCCCTTAAGTTCCACTGATCATTAAGATTGTCAGCCAAGTTACAGTCTCAATGTATCTGCAAATAACCAAAGGAAAATGTATCAGCCATCCAAGGACAGAGACTTTGTAGGTACGGCATTCACAGTCTCATTTCTCCATAGAGATCCTGGCATTTTCTGTAAATGTTTACAAAATGAATGGAAAAAAATTCTTATGCCTCTTGAAAGAAGTATTTACAGCTTGTCATGGTAGTTCATGCCTACAATCCCAGAACTCATGAAACTGAGCTACATGGCTTGGGGCTACAGAAGTGAGTATTCCAGACCAGCCTGGGCAACAGTTTAAGACCTGACCTCACAAAAAAAATGATTTTCACAAACAACATCTCAGACACCTCTGACCCAGGCTATGAGTGTGTTTATGCACACAAGTACTCTCAAAATCCCCATATGGCCATTCTTCCCTTTGACATGTGCATTTTTATAACAAAACACTGAAATAATAACCATTTGTCTCCCAAGAAAGATGATTTTAATTAACATTCCATCCAAACATGCCAATCATCCAGCACCTTAAAAATGAATTCAGTTTAAATCAGGAAAGCTGTTCCTTTTTCCCTAGAAAGTACACAACTGAGACTCAGTTGGCATCTCCAGTTCATGAGAACGGAGATTCAGTTTGCCCATCATGCTCCCCCAGAAAGCATGGTTTATGTTCACTTGCTAACTTAGACCTTGTTTATTTCTGCTTAGGCTAATATCTCACCCTTGGTCCTTTTTGTCAATTCTTAATACTTCTGAAACTTCCATCTGCTTTCCTAAGGGGATGACAAAAGCCAGAATGCACTGTCAGCCTCCTAGGATATCCAGCCCTGGAGATTCTCAGCAGGCATTTGGAAATTGGAGTTAGCCCAGAGCTCCGGAGTGAATTAAGCATTGGTGATGTCAGTTTGGAAATCATTAGTGTAGGGGTTAAAGGTGAAACTATGTGAAGAGATGAAATTACCCAGGGAGCCAACATTGCAAGAGAAGATGCAGATCAATGGCAGGAACTCAGGAGGGCGCAAATGTATGTGCATAGTGAATGGTTATGCACATGCACTAGTGTGTGTGTGTGTGTGTGTGTGTGTGTGTGTGTGTGTGTGTAATCCCAACAAAGCAAACTTAATGAATGACTACACCAAGAAAAACAGTGAACACTTTTCAGCAAGAGAAGATATGCTAAGGTACAGAAATCTTCAGATGTTCAGATAATTGAAGCTAAGAAGCAGCCATCAAATTCTGACAAATGGGGGTCACAGGTAACTTTTGGGAAAAGCAATCTTCCCAATGTTGTTTCTCTGGATTGTGTGCGGGATCAGCCATGCATAGATGTATGCAGGATACACAGGTGAGGATCCCAAAGTACCAGAAGATTAAACACTAGTAAAGAATAAGATTGGTACTGGGTATCCCAGACAATCAAGTTAATAACTACTGTTGGATATTGACTCTTCCCCTGTGTTGGAATCAATACATAGTATTTCTGTGGATGTCTTTACTTTCTTCCCCAAAATAGCTCTAAAAAGTTGCTACATTTTTGCATTTGATAATACCAGAAGCAGCAAAGTTAAATTAATTACCCAAGGTCACACAGTTAGACCATGGTACTCCTAGGATGAAACCTGAGTTCTACCTGAAGCTGAAATTCCCTGCTGTCACCACTGAAGTTAACACCTTCACATTCATGATAGTAGATAGCTACGCTTGCACAGACGGCAACTGATCCTGATGAAGTAACTCTTAGTATCTATCAGGTTCTTTGCATTGAGTATCTTCTCTTACACATATGCCATCAACTTTCAGGGTTTATTTGGTTGAACCTTATGAGGACATATTCAAATAATTTTATTTTGGTTTCTTAAAAAAAAAAAAAAAAAAGCCCGAATCTATGGGACTGCAAAACAACCTGTTATCACTCAAATGCACTTGCTATAATTGTTCCCAATTGTTTGAATTCTTTTTAAAGTGTGGCATCATTGATTAGGTGGTTGTTTTTAATATTCAAATTAGTAATAATCAAAGGCATCAGGTAACTGAGAGGAATTTGGCAGCGTGCCCTTAAAAGGCCCCTTCTAGCCTTGAATGTAGACAATTCTTGCATGCAGATGTAATGACAATAATGGAAGACTGGGAATAGACTGGAGTACAGCAGCAGAACTGGTTGGCACATCAGCTTCGTTTTATAGTATAAAAAACAGTATAAAAATAAACCCATGGCTGGTCAAGGCATTGATTGCTAACTTAAATAGAAGCTTGGAAGCTCCACACAAAAGGATACACTGGAAATCCAACCAACTAATTTACCTATGACCCAACAAAGGTCTTAGAAGATCCAATTGGTTATCAGAGAATGAGAGACCGGGTGTGAGTGAATGGGTGACAAGACTCTAGCAATTAATATTTTGCTGTCTATAGTAAACCAAATGAGGTTCTAGTCTAAAGCAATTAGTATCACTACTAATTGTGCATGGGTGTAGCAATAATAGTAGGCATTTGGGGTGGCTTGCACTGATTGTTCCCTTCTTCCTCTGGATTACAAAAAAATCCATTCAGACAGCCAAATAATAGCAAGTACTTAGGCAAATTGTTAATTATGAGGAAGACATAATCATAATCTTGTACATTTATGAAACTGAATATACAATGAGGATTACCTAATGAATTGTTGCTTTATTATTTTACCAATGCTAGCCCTGCAAGCAGTTTTCATACAGCATTCATTAAGTTCACCAGAATTCAAAAATGGCCCCATCAATATTTACCAAAGCTGCTTCTTTCCCATCTCACCACCTGCAATCCTCTTTTCTTTCTCACTAAGACTGTGTATAAGGTCACTCTGACCACTTCTGCTCCAACTATGTAGCACCATAATAAAAATAAGAGTAAGTCAGAATGGTGCTACCATGTAACTTTTAAAGCAGAAAGGGAATAAAAACTAGGAACACATCTCCTGTAAAACAATTAGGAGTAAAATAATCCCTATCTTCTTGGTCATTCTAATAATCATCCACAAAATTTATTCACACATGTGTAAACCAAAGCTCATAGTTGAAATGGAACTTGTTCAAAGTCACTGGTCTAGACAGTAGCAACATGTAATATTCTTGCCACAAGGACACATATCCAATCTGTGATTTTTGAAATGCCTTCCCATAGTAATGTGTGATGAAGTGTTGATAGCTGCTTATACCTTTTATCTCAGTGAATTACAAACTGACTGTAGCATCAAGTGATGACTTTCTTCTTCACAGTTGTCAAATAGGTTTACAGGGTCCTAAGATGAATATGGAAGCCATGCTCCTGAAAATAAACTAGCCATCTTACAGAGGGCCTATCTAACCCATTTTCACAGGAGCCTGTCCTAGTGGAGGAATGCCAAGTTCTGCCAAGTCCATCACCTCCCCATTCTGATTTATTTAGTTAGGGAGAACTGTGGGTAGGCAAGAAAAGAAAACAGAGGCACTGGTAAAGATTTTTAGAGCCAATAAACCTACATATAAGCCAAATAAAAAACTGATGAACATCACATCTTTAGAAGATAAAAATGCCCAGCAAATACAGTACTTCAGTAAAAAAAAAAGGGGGGGTAGGGGGTACTTATCATTCCTATTAGCCTCTTCAGCACTGGTGACAATATGATACAGCTCATGGTGACAGTAGGTACTTTCTTGGAATTTTCATTGCTCCTTCCCCCACAGAAAGGAACTTTCTTGTGTTTGGTTTGATTTGTTCTCCAGCCCAGTTCATTGACCAAGACCTACTGCATGTGGGGTTACTCTACCTCGTAACCCCATAGGCATGTTGGTCCAATTGTTCTGTAGGCATGTAAGCCCATAGGCATGTGACACCATAGGAAATGTTGGTCTGACTATTCTGTAAAACACCATCTACCCTAGGAAGAGGCAAGCATGCCTGGAGCACTGTGAAGACTTTGTTGATGGCGGGAATCTTCTTACCAGGACATTCTCGTGTGTCATCCAGTTTCAGCTAACTCTTGGGGGTGGTGGGGCAAGCTAAATAGTCATCCCATTTCCCAATGAGATTTGCCATTAGACCTGAGACTGTGATGCTTTAAACACAAACAAACTAAGTGTCTACTATAAAAATGGACTATTTTGTGTTGCAATTAAACTGGCAGGCTACTGCAGAGTCCATTTTGTACCTTTCTTGGGCTCGTTAAACTCAAAGTACGTTGTTACTTACCTAGTTGCATCTAGAATCTGAAAAATCCTCCACCTGTTAAAGGAACAGTAAAACCAGTCGATAGCAAAAGCTTGCCAAGAGAAGAGTTAAAGTAATAAAAATATCCCCTTTGCGTGGATATCATATTTTTACAGTTTCCCAAACTGTAAGGAAATCATTCATGGGTGGTGTTCCCATTCTGTTCCCCCACTAGCTCCTCTCCAGCAAAGGGACATTCCAAATGACAGGGCTGAAAGGATCAGGGCAGCATTGAGAACCAATCCTCTGTATTGCTGTGGGCAGGGAATGATGGATCTACCACTCATCCTAACTTCATCCTCTTTCTCAAGGGGCAGTGGCAAATTAAGCAAAGACAAAAGCCAAGAAACCCAACCCCAGACCAAGTCTAACCCTGTAGCATGGATGAAATGGAAACGCCTCATTGAAAGGACCGAGGAGAGATTTTTTTCACATCACTGAGAATGTATGAACACAGATAAAAGAGATTAAAAAAAAACCCTTTTAGAATTTGCTTATACTCTTACATGAGATGAGAATTCACAGCGTGCATGTACACACAGACACACAGACACTGACACAGACACACACACACACACACACACAGTGATAAATAACTCATTTCTGTAGTGATTGCCACCAAAACAGAAGACATCCATCAAAGTAAGTAAATAATATTTCCTCATTTATAAAACTTGCTTAGATCTTTCTTATAACATAGGTCTTAGGATTCACAAAACATTAACACTACAGTGTAAAGTTTTAATTGTGTGTGTGTGTGTGTGTGTGTGTGTGTGTGTGTGCGCGCGCGCACACGCATGTGTGCACGCGCACCATGGTATGTGTATGAAAGTCAGAGGACAATTTGCAAGAGTCATAGGCTCAGGATATTAAACTGAGGTCATTAGGCTTGTTCACAAGTTCCTTGACCACTGAGAAATCTCACATATGTGTACTTGTCATATGAACAGCATCCCTGAAGTTGTGCCCAGGTCAGTTTGAGACTCAACTAAGTATCTAATTTTAATTACACCATAACAAGGGCCATTACAATTTTGTACACTTATTGTGCACAAAAAAGTTTATAAGAACCTGTGAGTTGTTATGGGAGAAATGTGTTTTGGTATATCAAAAATATGTGCAGGCTTCTGGGGTGAGTTAAGAATATCTCTTAATAGCATAGCCAGTAACAGAGCCGTGCTTGCATTATCACTTGGGAAACAGTATATGACTTTTTAAAAAATCATGAGTCCTTGGTGTGGGTAGACCTCACTTCCTTGCTTCTTAGTTGTTAAGACTGCTAAGGAAATAAGTGTTATGAGAGACCAACATGATATGTCTGGTGAGTTCTCACACTAAATCTTTTAAAGAAGATACCCCCACAAATTAGCTTGCTATTCAAAGGTCTACTGCAGCCACAAAGAAGAAATTTAAAGTATACTATTCTGCCCCATGACATAAAATCCTTGTACACTGAAGACAGCTTAGAAGTCCCTATACCACACTTGGTCTGGTGAATAAAAGAAAATTCAACATTGGATGAAAATACCAACAAACAAATACCTGTAAGTAAAACATCAATAAGAAAAAAATAAAAACAAGAAACCATGTGTTGATTTTAGTTCCATTAAATCTCAAAGTAAAATATACAGTAGTTTCCAAACCCATAATTTTATTATACTATCTTAATGGAAATCCTCAAATGATGTAAATATTCCCATTGATTTACTGATTTGTATCAGGGCTGATTTAAATTTAACTTCAATCAGGGAGCTATTATCTCAAAATTATCATTCTTTTTTATTTCTAGGCAAATTTGCCTCCTACTTGTTAATATTTTCCCAGTAATCACACTTATAGGGTTTTAAAGAGCACATTGCCTTACCTGAGTGTCCAGACAGCCAGAGATGCAGTATTCAATGATGATCCATGAAGATGATACAGGTACACCAAACAGGTGGACAGTCATTGCAAGTGACCAAAGAACATGGGGGAAAGATTAGAAAGAGAGAGAGAGAGAGAGAGAGAGAGAGAGAGAGAGAGAGAGAGAGAGAGATGAATACTGATTAGAAGAAAAGGAATTGATTTGCAATTTTTATTTTATACAAATGTACACACATTCTCCCTTTGGGATGGTTCTTAAATGGAATCCTTTAAAAAGATCCTTTAATCATGAAGAGCCATTCAAACTCTATTTATTATCCATTATGTGCCAGGTATTGCTATAGGATACAACAGTGGATAAAACAAACAAACAAACAAACAAAATCCTTCCTTTCTGCAGACTCTGCAATCTTGGAGAATATTTTGTGGGCCATCTGCTTGAAATAAGAATCTTCCAGAAATATACCACATATGAAAAAAACATTTCTCCTGGTTTTATTTATTCTTTTCTTTATGTATAGAGAACATACCCAGTGGCATCGCAGTCAACATTTGTAGTATAAGGAACTACTTTCTGATTAGAAGGAACTCTATAAATTAAGGTCTCTTCCCTTAAAAGTCCTTCCCAGAGACTGTCTGTCAGTCAGGTTTCTTTCCAAGCCTCCAGTGCTTGTATTTTGAAAGGCTGTGAAAACAGGAAGACTCTCAATAGCACTATCAATATTAGCGCAGAACCACATCTTAATAGAGCTTTTCTCGTTGGCTATTATTGTTTTCCCTATGAGGTGGCCCAGGTGACATGCTGAGATGAGACCCATTAGCCCTGAGCCAGCCCCATCGTGGGAAAACAACAGGCCAGGGAAGGCAAAGCAGACTTGGATACTGGGTTAAGTTCCAGAAGTTGGGGGGCATCCTTCAAAAGTCAGCAACTATCGAAAAATGGCAGGGGAAACAAAAAGATGGAAGTGAATTGAAAACACGTATCACTGTAATAATGGGAAGATGGGAGTACCTGAGGATCCATCTTCCCTTTACAACTATTTCATACATGTATATGGTGTATTTTTATTAGAGTCCTCCCGTTGCTCTCCTACCCCCCTACCTACCCTGTTGAGCCTCCCTTTCCCCAGCTATAACCACTCTTACTCTCATGCCCTTTGTTGCGACCCGCTGAGTTTAATTAGGGTAGATTGCGTGAGCATGGATAATAGGGCCTGTTTCACTGCAGTTTGAGCCACATAGAAGTGCCTCTACCACTGAGAAAAATGACTTCAGAGGGGTTTCATCTTAACTAGGAATCTCAAATTATGGCGTCTACCTTTAGGGTTTACAGTACTAGGGCTGCTGCTTAAGGCTTCAAAAATAAAATTAAAGAAATTCACTTTGCTATTAAGAGCCAAATGTAGACCCTAAGTAAAATAGAATAAGAATGTAGGCGCTGTTGCACAGGAATCTGGATCCCCGGTTTCTGGTCCTGATTTTCCCAATTACTGATTTGATCTTTGGCTATGATCTTCTCCATTAAAGATTCAAGAGACGAAGTAGTTCAACAAGCTGGTTTCTAAAGCACACATTACCAAGCCTGATAACTTTACCTTCCATTTTGGACTCGTGTTAGTTTAAAATATACTAATCACTAGTTCTTTTCTCAAAACAACCTGCTACTGGTAATTCAGAGAGCCCAGCACTCCTGCATTCACAAGCAATTGAGACAGAACAAAACAACAGTGGCCACACACCATTCTGTCTGGGAAAACAGCTCTATGCATTTAAATGTACAAAGTGCCTGGTTCTTTATGATGGAAAATTTACATTAAAAATTTGAAAACTACCCACTCCATTCTCTTGCCTACAACATGGGACAAGTATAATGTCTGCAATCATAATGATATTCAAGATACATGCAAAATATGTTGTTATGGGTGATGCTCAGTTAGAAGAGAACATAATCCAGTCATTGCAGAAACCTTGTGCCTTCTGTAAGCAGGCCAATGAGTTGAAGTACACAAAGGTAGTTCTCAAGTTTCTTGTAATGATTCGATGAGAATCATTACGAATAACTTGGCAGAAGACAAAAATCAAAGTCAACATGCAGTAAACTTCATGTAAATTATTTTTGTTCAGGAGGTAAACCAGATAAGAGGATAGTCCAAAATGATAGTGACTGAGGCAGACAACAGAAAGAGCTCCCAGGCCTGTCACTGAGCCATCATTCTCTGGGAACAGAACCAGGTTGTCAAAAACATGCTCAAAAAGACCTATATGTCAACAGCCACATTGAAATCAACCACATTGATTAGTAGAGTGAAGGGATGTGCATTAACATCAGTGCTCTGCAGTTTGACCACTCTGTATTAGTCTTCAGTTTATGCCAAGTCCACATAAAATCATGCACACGGACCTCATTGGACAGGGTACTTCATGGCTGGCCCAACAAGACTGCAATCCAGAACAAAGAATTGTGTTCTTTGAGTATCTGTTTTAGTTCCACAAGGACTAGCCTGTTCCACAACTGTGAAGTCCTCTCAGTCTGTTTTGATTGTTCCTTTCATGGTCCCTCCTTTTCTCTCCAAATTTACCCTCTCGTCTTTAAATTTTCTAACAGCCAACCAGGATTTCAGACTGTTTTTTTGTTTGTTTGTTTTTTAAATTTGTGCAACAGTCATAAGAAAACAGAGCCTTTTAGAACCATAGTAATTACTGTCCGTTGATTTTACCTCCAACCTTCTGACAAGTAGGAAGCCTTTTTAAAAATATATCCCCTAATAACACAAGACATAACACACATATAGTTATATGTTTCATTCATAGCTACTGGTTGCTTATTCTCTATATTCAGTGAAGGTGGAGAGAAACAAATACTGTGTAGTATAAGGGGGCAGAAAGAAGCTTGGACGCAATAATTAAGGTCCTCATTCCAGATTTGCCATTATCTGGCTCGGAACTTTGGCAAGCCTGTTCCTAATCAGAGAAGTTGGTTGACTAGGTCCCCTTTCCAAATTCCCCATTCACTCTAGTATTCTAAAAATCTGTGATAAACTTGGCTTAATCAGCAACACTCTCATGAACTATAGAGCTGAATTCTTATTAAAAAAAAATACTAAACAGAAAAACTCCCAAATTTCTCTAAAATACCCCTATGCCAAAGGCTG